TCCAGAAGCCTTTCCTAGAAGTTGCTTTTGCTTTACTTGTTACTTGGTGCAGTCCACCTTGCTGTTGGTTAACAGAAAATGAATGTGTCAGCAACAAAGCCGCCTATTGTTGCAGCAACAGGATTTTTAACTCATTTTACATCCACAGTGTCCCCGTGTCAATAGACAAACTCTAAACCTGTTTCTCAAGTCCAGTTTGTCCTGTTGCTACTCAAGCAATCTTACAGTTCACGTGCTTGAAAGAGATGGCTGAGTCAGTATATAGGCTTATGTGTCACCTAATGAATAGAAATCAGCTGCCAATCACGCTCTGAGGATGTGGAATCCACCTAATGTGGGCGTGTGTTTCCATTTTTTTTGCATGTTCAGAGATTGAATATATCACGATTACTGATGCATTAAGGTACGGTGCCACATTTGAACACACTGAGACCCATTTCTGAGTAAACTCAAGAGACCTAGTGGAGTGTGTGGGGGTAGCTGGAGTGCAAATGTACAAATGGACGAGCACTTGGAGAAGAAAAGTTGGTTATTTGTCAAAGACTTGAGCTCTTTGAGGTGTGTCCTGCAAGTGTACATCCATTACCTATCTTTTTTGTATTCTCTTATCACTTTTGTGTATTCATTTCATGTCCACACTCTGTTATAGACAAAGGTAGACTAAATGTAGCTCTGAAAAGAGGGATACTTCAGTGGGATGATCTAAGGAATTTTCAGGGATTAGTTAGATCTATATCCTAGCAACTTTAGAAAGGCATAGAAGACAGGACTGGTCTTTTCGATAGGGCTATTGTAATAGTAGCCTTGTTACTGACTCAGACTGCTGACACTATTATGTTGGTGGAATCTTGTAAAATCTATTTGTCATGTTGCAAAGAAATGTGTGTAACCAGAGGCACATACTCCAAACTAAAAACAGGTGTTAACAATCAATATTACAATAGTCTCAATGGTGAAAACAGATTTTGATTTTATGAAATACATGTATTGCTGTGTAATTTAAAAGATTAATATAACAAGATTATGGTGAAATGAATGTATGTAGCTTAAAAGTGACTTATATATTCATTAATAAATCCAAATGACAAAAAATTAGGAGTTCACATTGTTCACTTAATGAAACAGTGATGTTGAGATGTGATTAAAATTTTCATTTTTTTCACAAAGTAGCTTACTAGTTGTCTATAATATAGGTATGATGGCTGTTACCCATCTCAATTCTGTATTTTGCCAGCGTGCTGTATCCCTTCCTTATTTAAAACTTAAACTTGCATTAATCTCTACACAAGTGGAGTTTGTGCCCGTGCTTACCTTCAGGATAAATCACAGGGTATTCTGTGTGGGCATTGCTCCCGTGGGGCTTTTGGCTAGGGTTAGTCCCCCAGGGTTAGTCAGCCCAGGGACTACTGTTGGTTTAGGAGAGGTACAGTCACACAGGTTGCTGGTCTCGGGGCTGAACTGTGGTAGGTAAGAGGACTGTGTTGCTTTTGTGACATGACCTAGAATAACTTACTGTGGTTTTGAAGAGAGATTGGATTTCTACCTCAGCACTGCCAGATGCAGAACATAATGAGTCTCTTCTCTCCATTATTTGAACTCCTAGGAAGAACCTCTCTTTTTCTTCTTGCCAGTTTTGGAAGTCACATGAAAGTGGAAGGATGTACTAAAGGAAGCAAAAGCAAAAATACGCAGGAAGTATTACATAAAAATTCTTAAGGTTAAGCTTGATTAAAACAGAAGTATTATAATTTATTTGAAGATGCAGTAAAAAAAAGCCATACCTGTCTATGGCCAGATCCAGCCATTAGTATTTGTGCCAGCTATAGGCTTTATTAAAGCTGCTCTGCCACAAGCATGGCACATCAGAGAAGATTAAGGTCTTTGTGTCAATTTTTACTGACTCATAAACTACTCTTTAACACTATTCTTATGCATTCAACACAAAAATAATCAACAAAACAGATTCCGTCAAGAGTGTTCTTGAAGCTGTCTTCCTGTGTGATTGGTTGTAGTTAGTATGTTGTAGTTACATCTGTAGAATAAATTAAAAAATGTTATGATCCCATCATCAGCTGTTTATTGTAAGGGAATAATCAAGAAAATCCTTTGTACTAAAACTTAGACCTGGTGCACATTCAAGAAAAAAACCTAGTTAATCAGGACTCCAGTGTTTGTCTCTTTTCAGTGTTCTGATGCATTGGAAGGGATGTATGAAAAAACCTTAAACAGAGCTTAAGGTCTGCTTTTTCTCAAATGACCAGAGAGATATTCCATGCCATATAATGTCATGCTCAGCAATCAAAACTTAGGGGAGGAGGTTTTGGGGGAGGTAGCCATTGCTTAGAGACTTGCTTGGTCATTGGTTTACTTGTGGAAAGTGGCAAGTGATTGCTTCAGCATCACTTGTTTTGTTTTTAATTCCTCTTTTCTTCACTTGTTAAACTATATCTTGACCCATGAGTTTCCTCACTTTTGCTCTTTCTGTTCTCTCCCCTTGTTCCACTGGGGGCTGGGGAGGGAAGGAGTGACTGTGTGGTCCTTAGCTGCTGTCTGGGATCAGCCCACCACACCACAGAGCAGCATCTGCCAGGAGATGGGCAGCTCCAGCTGGCAGTTCTAGAGTGCAGCGTAAGATACCAAAAAACGTTCAGTGGTGTAGGTTTGTGTTATGCACGTTCATGGGGAGGTCTTCATGTAAGTTCAATAGACCAAAGAGCAGATACTCAGTGTTAATTGTTTAATTTTTGTAAACTTCCCATCAGAATTGTTTGGTGTTCAATTGCAACACTGTTGGTTTTCTGTTTGTTTGTTTTTTCTTTTTAATAGTGCCTCTTATATCTTTCTTGATATCTGTTAATATCATTTACATGGTTTGACTGTCCATTTACTATATATAGCTGGAGTAATATAAGTAAACATGAAAAATACATATACAACCTACATAGTAAAAAAAGAGAAAAAAATATTGAACCAAAACCAAGCAGAAGAATGAAAACTAAATCCCTGTGAATAATGATGACTGATAGTATTCTGCACTCCTTCAGATTTCTTAGATAAAAGTGTAATCTAGAACACTGATGGCCCCATAATATTAACATTAATGTTTCCCTAGAGCTGTTCATTGTTTACTACATGAAATAGTAGGGCTCTGCAAAGTCGTATCCTATGTAAGAAAATTGTATAGAGAAACTGCAGTTCTGTACTACCACTGCTGGGTAGATATTGTTGTTATCTTGGTGTTGTTACTGCAGCAAAGTAATTTAACAGCAAAATATCTTAAAATAGTTCATTTAAGCTTACTCTATGTGTAAAGCAGAGTGCTTATACACTAGCTTTCTCCAGGACACTACTTATTTTCATTCAGTCTGTTTCAGGGCATTTTTCAAACACTTTTGAAACATGTTTGCACCTAATACCTAACTGCACAGGCAAAATCATTATACTTCAATACAGTCAGATTTGCATCTGATAGATATCAGGTAGAAATAATTTGTGTCTAATGTCTGTCAAAAGGGTTGAAAAAATCTGAAACTGAAACAGTTCATCTCAGGTTGGGCTTGAGGAAATATTGACAAGTTGTTGAAGAAATGGTGATGGAAGGGAGGGCTGAGAGATAAGTACCACAGAGGTAGCTGGGTCAGACATTTCAGAGGTGGAAATTAATAGAAGGGGAGCAGCAGTGCTTGAAGGCACATGCTACTATACATACAGTGTGGCATATATTATTTTGAGTGATGTTCAATGCCTCAGTTTAATAGGGTGGATAACAAAGGCAGAAAGTTAGGATTTAAAATCAAACTGCTGTTAGTTACATAAAGAAACTAACCTTTATTATGTTGCAGTAGCAATAAGTGATTTTTCTGTGTCCCAGGACTGGAATCATTGCTTTACTAGAGGATATGGTGTCATTACATCGTGATAAGTGGTTTATAAACACGTTCTTGTTTGAAACAAATAAGTAGACCTGACAGACTTTTCAACAGTTGCTCGTTTAGATTTACTGTAAATATTAAATGTTGTATGTATACTCAAAAAATACTCAAGACTGAAAATATTTAGTGTTTTATAGCTCTAGCTAGTAAGTGATATAAACTGATAGCCTGTCACTGTATATAATGAAAAAAGTGATTCCAGATTTGGAAAGTTTCCTTTAATGCCAGTAGGAAAAACCTGTAGCAATCAAGAACAGAAAGATCTGTGTGTGTGAATTTGACTATTAAAACATAAGTCACAGCGAAAATTAAAGCTGTCACTTACCTTGGTTTGAGAAAATGTAGATCTACATGTGTTAACTGGCAAAATCATCAAAACAACAGGATCTGCTATCTTGTGAAATAAGCCTAAGAATCCCTTAAATGACCGTACCATGGAAATTTCCCTGCATCTTGTGTATACTTGGAGAGAATAAATAATTTTTGCCTCTATCATAGGCTAAACATTGACTTTTATTCAGGAATGGCTTTTAAAGGGGTATTTTTTAAACGAAAAATATTTTATAATAAATTTTCTGGATGTCTGTACTAGTGAGTTTTGAAGTTTCAACAATATTTGCCTTTAATTATACATTCAATTGTAAATAATAGAGACTTCTGTGGATTTTTTGTGGCTTTTGTAGGCCATAATCACATGTACATGGGCAAATAATAATGTTTTTTTTGTGTGACAAAGTGATTCAAATTTTTACATGAAAATTTTGTGGAAGGTAACTAAATATAGACAAACTCAACCGTAACTTGTTGTTACAAAAACTGCTGAGTATTATTTTGCATGATTAAACACAATATGTCTAAAGGACTTTCTTAAAGAGCAATTATTTTGATCCAGACAAGAAAACAAATTGAAAATCAACTTTATTAGGTATTATTTCTAAGGAAACTATGTGAGCTGCTAAGAAAATTTATATTTTATGCTCTCTTGTTTTTAATTTTCAAAGATGAGTTTTGCTCGCATAGAGGAAAAGTGCCATAGAGACTAATTTCTTAAAATTTCTTTTGACATAGAAAAAACTGACCAAGAGAATACTGTGGCAGGAGATAAAGACATAAAAGAGCCTTCCAGTAACCAAAGCATACAACCAGAGATACAAGACCAGTCTGTCTGGGGAAATCGCACTGATGGTGACCTCATCAGAAGTAAGTATTTCCAGAACAAATTGCTGCCATTTAGGCTTGCTTTCGCAGGGTAACGGGATACTGCCTGTTGACTCAGTTAAATGTGTGTCAAATGCAATTGTGTTTCAACTGTAATGCATGTCTACTGAGTTTCTTTCCCAGAATGACTTGTGTCAGCATGCATGAGCAACAAGTTCAAAGAAAGGTGTGATTTGAGTAGTGCAATGTAGTACAGATCTCTGTAGCATCCACATTTTGATGCCTTAATGTTACATTCTTTTACCGTTCATAATGGGATCTGTATATTTAGCAAGCACATGAGCTGCAGTATGCAACTGTGTTAGGTGTTGTCGCCTTTGATTTCTCAGGTTATACATTAAAGTGGCATAGTAAACTATGCTGAGAGTAGTTGCTTCCACATACTGAGTACTGGTAAAATGTAAGTTTATAAAGAGGTTTGAATCCTAAATTAGCTAGTCCTTTCAAAACTAGAAGAATGCGGTAAGACAAGGTTTTAGGCCTTAAGTGCTATGGAATTTTGTTGTTTTGGGGTTTTTTTTTAATAGTTTTTACAAGTCCACATTCCTAGTCTATGTCGGGTGCTTTAAAACATAAAAAGGTATGCAAGATTATTCCTATTGTTCTTTCTTGAATTGAAGATCATATGCTGTCCAAAAGATCATCCACACCCTCCTGAGGCAAAAATATTTCTGTCAACTGCCAGAGCTACTACTTCGAAATTCTGTGGATGCTTGAATGTTCGTTACTCAAGGGAAGGGCAGCATGAGAAACTGTTCTCTAATTATAGGGTATATTCAGAAAGCAAATGGACTAAATGCTGAGTGTTTCTCCAGCTCTCCAAGATTGTTGTCTGACCACACGCATAGGGTCAGTCTGTTTCTACACTGCACACATACTACACAGTACACAGCGGGGTACATTCATGTTTTGGAACCTGCTGTTGCTATAACTGGTGATTTTCTCTGGAGTTATCTGTTTCTTTCTATTTTTTTTGGTTGTTTTTTAAAAAATCTTATCTATACAATTAACCTCCCTGAACTTTGTGTTAGCGTTTGAAGTTCTTTTCAAACCTTAGTTAATAATATTTTCTAAATAATGAATCCCAGTAAATACTTACCTACTTAATGTATTGAATAGTTATCTAGATCCTTTAAAGGAAAACTTGAATTTAGCATGTCAGGTATTTATTTGACAATTTAAAAATAATTCTTAGGGGGCTATAAAGATAAAGAATTTTCCTTCACAATTTGAGAGTTTACCTAATTCCAGAAGATCATTATTTTAGACCTGAATGCCCCTGCACAAGTAATAGCTTTGTGCTTGTGTTGAGGACATAGAAAGGTGACTATGGCATCTGCTGCTTTTGGAGTGGCCGCCTCCTCATTCCCTCTTCATAGAGACTTCCTGATGGCCAGGCTCATGGGAAAGCAGATTTATTTGGTAGCAGTTAGCAGCATGCCTGAACTACCCAAGGACAGTAGGGTAGTGCTGTGCATCCTCTAATGTGTTAACTGCAAGGACATTCTGTAGCAGCTGCACTGGAAAAGTGGGAGAAGAAAAGGTAAATTTTTCAACACATAGTAGAAATTGCAGCATATTATGCAAGTCCCTGGGAATGAAGGAAGGGTAAAGTGACTTGACAGTTATATGTGGTTATATGTCTCTGATGGGAGGGTTATCTGAATTAAAAAAGTAACAGGAAAAAGGGTAAAGATAGGATAAAATTCTGAGATACGTATGTATATGTATGATGCACTGCTCCAGTGTGTGTAACTGTGCTCCTGGAGTCACTGGTAGTTTCACCTTTGACTTTGTGAAAAGTTTAGGTGAAAGCCGGAAGTTTCTAAAACTCCTAGTCTTAATAGAGTTTTGTATACTAGTAGTTTTATTGTGAGACATGATTCAGTAGCTGCTGTGCTGCAGTCCTCTCTTTGCTTCAAATTAATGTGATTTTTTAACCTTTACTGTTCCTACTGCTAAAGTCTTGAAGAAACAAAAATGGTGAAATTAAAGCAGCTTTGTTTTCTTCTTTTTTTGGGGCAGGGCGGGGAAATGTGTGGGGGGTGGGGGGGGGGGGGGGGGAGGGAGAGGTGCAATGTGGCTAGTAGGGAAGTTTGTTCTATTTAAAAAAAATTGAGGAACAGTGTTTGGCTCAATTACAAGTTCTTCTTCTAGCTTGCAAAAATTTTAAAACTTGATCTACCTAGTAACTGAAGTTTGAAAAATAGAAAAAGTAGAGCACAGAAAAGCTTGTTTATCACAAACATTACTTAGGTATTTAATATTAAATAACAAGTGTTATAGATCAGAATGACTGTGATTCAACCAGATCTATTACCCCACTAGACTAAAGTTTGCAGAATATTTTATATTGAAAGAAACTTGAGGTTAGAAAAAAAAAAAGTGTTTTGATAATTATGGTCTACCAAATTGTTTTAGACAGGGCATACTGTCATTTTCTGAGATATTAACTATTCACCATTATCCTTATGATTCAGTTTCTTTTTTTTCCCATGCAGATTGTTTTCCACCCCCACAGCTGATACATACTCCATTTGTGTTAGCCTTAGTTTTCACTTTATAAATGTTTCCAGCATTTGATTTCCAAGGTTCTCCTTGTTTGCAGCTGTTTTATCCTGCTGTTATATGGAAGTAGATTAATCAGTCAGTTTTATTGGCACACCAACAACGAAGTCCAGTGTTAGAGACTCTGTAATGACTTCGTTATGTATGATTTCCCATTTGCACTTTTGAACTCAGTTTACCAGGCAACACTAATAAACTAAAATGCTGCCCCCGTTTTCCACAGTAAGAGGTTATCAGTTCACCCTGCCCTTGCAGTCCTTGAAAGTCCCCTTTTTTTAAATCTCTAGATGATGAGATTTCCCCCTTCCCCACCGGGGCGCCTCCCTCAAATGAAAACTTTCATAATATCCTGGGTAAATGGCTAATCTTATGGGAAGATTCAAGCAAGGAATTAATTGATTTTGAAAAGAGCTTGAGAGTTATGGTAGAGGAATATTAGCTTCCAGTGTACCACTGCTTCAGAAGGTTACTGTTTACTGACACATAAACATAACACTTGACACATAAACAAGGGAGAGCTAAATAAGAAGAAAATGGTTATATTACCTTTCTGTATTAATTGTTAATGCACTTCCATAACTGTTACTGGAATACTGCGTTCAGTTGGAGAAGGGTCAGGGGAGAACCACAAATATCTCGGGAATGACTGGAGTAGTTGAAAACATGCCTTATTGTGGAAAAACTACTGGAGTTCAATCTGTTTTGTGTTAACAAGGGGAGTAAAGAGGGCCTTGTCTCATCCCTAAGGAGAATGATACTGCAATGAGCAGAAATTTGGTAAGACAGTTCTTCACTTAGCAGACAAAGGGAGAACTAGATATAATGTCTGGAAGTTCACTTATACTAGAAATAAGGTCTAAATTTTTTAACAGAGTACTTAGGAAGAACTACCAGATATTTGGTGGTTTTAGGTGTGTCAGTTTTGCTTTACTCTTCACAAGGTTGCCACTGCTATCCATATCCCTCAGTTTTAGAACCTGAGTAAGGGAGAGTCTCTTTTCCATAGCAGTTCCCCCATATTGGGATAACCCTATATTCTTCAACTCGGGTTTTCCGCAAAGCAATATTAAGACCTATTCCTTTCTCTTCACAGATGTGCACATGTTTTGTATTTTATTTCAGGCTGTAGAGGTTCTGCTTTTCAACAGAAGTTAGTCTTAACATAGCTCCATCTGCTTTTCCTTCTTCTTTAGCAGTGCATTTTAAATATCTGCAAACACTTTCTGCTTATTTTCATTGTATGATCTGGTGACCTGTAATGGAGATGTTCTGCTTCTGTTATCACTCACCTTTGTCAAGTGAGAAAGAGTGAAAAACACAGCATGGTAACCTGTGGCTATAGGTGGTTTTGCTGCTCCGCATTACTACAATGCCTGGCTTTGTTCTTTGGGAAAGGTTGGGTGTTTTTTTTCTACTCTTAAAAAAAAAAAAAAAAAAAAAAAGGCTATAAAGTTGCATTTCAGAATATTTAGACTGAATTTTTACAGAGGGTACTAAGTTATCAATGTATGCTGTTATGTAGAGGAAGGAACGTTTAGGAGGGAAGAAAATGCCAGTCTTTAAAACTATTTGCTTGTGAAGATTTAATCTCCTTTCCAGTTCTCAAGCAAGACCTTAGCTATGTGATATTTAAGAAAACAAAAAACACCTACCATAGATTCAAATTGTAATGAATAATTGATTAATAATAATCCAATTCTCAAGATTAAATACCTAAAATATGGCCATCTTTTATAGATAGAAAGGTCATTGCTATCCATCATTTCCTAGCTTCAATTGCCTCTTTCTCCTCCTTGAAACACCCTCCTGATAAGAGTGGTTCCTCAGAGAAAGGGATGCTTCATTTAGCTCTGTGGGGATTAAACAATTTTGCATGTTCTTGTGCCTATTTAATTTACTAGATTCTTCTTTATTGCATTTTGTTTGAAATAGAAACCTAGATATTTTTTATCTTTCTGTTTTCTTCATTTTTATGTTGACATTTTTACTTTAGATGCCTATTTATTTAATTTTAACATCTGGAGATTCCCTTTTCCTACTGGCTAAGTGGATGATTACCATAGTTTAAATTATGCAGTTTGGGTTTGGGACTTTTTTCCCAAGAAGAAGATCATCTGCTGCTAGAAGCGTTCTTTTTTGTTTGCTATTAATCCAAATACCTTTTCTTGGCTAATTTATATGGTCATCTGACAATTACTATGATTTCAAATGACTGTGTTTATTCTGTCTAAAAAATAGTGCAAAGCGCTTGAGATAATCTTAATGGTTCTCTTCAAAGCTAGAAACTATGACAGATAGTCTTCTTGCAGTGTAACTGAGTGTGTGAGTACAGAAATTGTGCAGATAGATTAATGGAAATTATTCAAAATCTATACTGAGTCTGAAAGTGTATTATTTTACTTAAATTAAGGGCA